AGAGAGCTTGGTGACATGTGGATCCAGACTCGACATTGGACTTCAGACATTTTGACGAGGGATTATTTGGGACTCGTAACGAGACTTGGTGTTGACGACTTTCCCATCTCTCCCCTCCTCTTCGTCTGATCCCCTCCTCTTCGTCTGTGCATGGCTGGACCTGGCGCCTCTTCCTGTGTATAGCGCCAGGCCTCTTCACACCTGGTGATGAGCATGATGTATGTGACATTGATTGGGCTAGTCATTAGCATTCTGGCATTCTGTTTCGCTATCTTGTGCTACGTGAATGAGGTCAGTCCCGGTCAGGTCAGGATTTGTATCTAAGTCTTCCTTGCGCTATTCAGCATCATTTTGTATGATTTGGAATGCACATTGCTTGTTGAGATTCTACTTGCACTGCATTGTCCATTCAGTCCTTTTCATCACATTGCGGATCCTCAGTTCTTATGTACATCGCCCAACTGGGCATGTAACAGTTGGTATCGGAGCTTCGCACGTGAATCAGGACAACCTGATCTGACACGTGTGTGGGGACTAGTAGCTGATTAGTCTTGGTAGATTGATTAGAGCATACTAGTTAGCCCCCAAAATCACGATTTTGACCTCACTGCCGAAAATCTTTTTTTCTTTTTTCTTTTCTTGGATTTCATTTTCTCGCTATTTCTGTTGTGGAAAATCGCAATAGCGCAACATCTGAAATTTCCATTTCGTTTTTCTTCTGAAAATCCGAAATTTCGTTGTTGGAAATCCGGAATGTCTTTTTCTCGAAAATTTTGATTCCCTGTTGCATTTCCCGTTATTGGAATTCGGAATATTTTTTCCGACATTTGTTTTTCTGAAAACCGTACGGGAAATCCCTCTTGCAGTACCATTTTTTCTATGGCAGTCTGAAGTTCGAATTTTTTTCTCATTGATACTTTCGCACTTCAAGGGAGGTTGGGAGACCTACTGAACTTGCAGAACTCGGGATTTTTATTTTTCTCGAAATTTTTTTGCAAAGAGCAAACTTTTCTTTTTTGATTAGTGGCTCCTTATCTCGGAGATTTATCCCACCCCTCCCCAGCTATGTTGTTGTCCCCTCTGGTCTTTTCTCTATCTCCTTCCGGGTACCCCCTGCAGGGGCATTGGTAAGTTGCCACGGCAGCAGCACCACATCAGCAACCAGTCACACAGCAACAGGTCACGTCAGTGCATGGTGCTCACCCGCTCAAAGACAAGCGGAATGGATCAGCAGCAAGGCGAGACTACCGAGGCCTATGAGGCCCGCATGCTGGACATGGTAGCAGAGTTCAAGCAACGGGCGGCTGCGGCAACATCCACACGTACGAAGGAAGATGAGGAAGCAGAGGAACAGCGTCGCCTCGCTGGACAGCAGCGACAGGCAGACGCTGAGGCAGCAGCAACGGCCGCAGACGAACACCGTCGACTATGCCGAGACAAACTCCTTGTATGCGAGGGGGATATCGAGGTGATCGCCGGCGAATGGGCAGTGGCTGCTGAAGAGGAGGGTGCCCCCTCTGCTGTGCGTGGCCTTGCAACCACAATCGAACATGTGAGCGACTTGGTCGCCACCTGTGCAGCACAGCAAGAGGACATCCTCTGCATGGACACCCTGGTCCGGAAGCAGATTTGCGTTATTGATGAACTGCTTGACTGGGTACGTCGGCTGGAACAGCAGCTTGCAACACCCACCCCCGCCGGACCCTCCAACTTGGCGGATCCCATCAACGTCTTGGAGATCGACGTGGAGACTCTCAAGGACGGCACCATAACGACGAATCAGCGGATTGACCAGCAGATTTGCGCTGCCGCAACCAGTCCTACGGCGACCACTCGCGAGAGCATTCCCAAGTTTGACGGCCTCCCGATCTTCGGCGATGCAACGAAGACGGACCCGATCCCATGGTGGCGCCAGTTTGAGCTGAAGTTGGACATTCACCACGTCATCAACCCGAGCCGGCATGCATACTTATACTCCCGCTCGGGAGGCGCGTGCCAGGCATGGCTGGACAACATGTTGTCCACGCACAACGTCGCAGTCTCCGAGCTGCGTACGAAGATCAGCTGGGCTGATCTCAAGGCAGCATGGCATAAGCGGTTCCAAGTGGAGCCGCCCGAGCTTCAGGCAGCCGAGAAACTTCAACGGTTCTATCAGAACGACCTGCCAAGCACGGACTGGATCACCGAGTACCAACGCTTGGCATCCACGCCTAACTTGCCTTCGACATTCGTCGCTATCAAGCACTTCTTCATCAGGAGGAGCTGCCCGGCGTTGCAGAATGCCTTGACGCAAGTTACGGAGACGCTCACCAGAAGTGAGCAGCTTTTTGACAAAGCCTCACAGATCATCCTGACGAACATCGAGGCCAAGAATTTGGGCCATTCGTCTGCTACAGGCCAGGGCAGAGGACATCATCGGCCGAAAGTGGTCGTGGTCGCAGCAACTACAGCGACCAACATTTCAAACGAGGCTGCCTCTTCTGAGGAAGGAGACAGATTGGCAGCCGCCCGGGATGGTGGCCGTCCCGCTAGAGGGCGAGGACGCGGCAAACCGAAGACACACACCACTTCAGCCCCCGGGGCCGGACCAGCGACTCAAGAGCCTTGGACACATTACGGTATCTCGGAAGGCGTGTACCGCATCCGTTCTAAGTACCGATATTGCTTGTGGTGCAACAGCGCGGTGCACGACACCACAACATGCCCCACACCGGTCCAAGCCAAATCCCCTTCGGGAAAGTGAGCACCACCGAGAGTGATGTGACTGCACTCTCGACGTCTCCGGAATCGGTTGCTTCGCGAGCGACCTCTCTTCATTCCGAGGCACATGCGGAAGTCGACAGTCCTCTCTTATATTCTTATGAGGACTATGCTCCCCGGCTCGTTCCTTCGCTGGGTTCTCAAGCTCAAGGATAAGATATGTGTGCGGCTTCTTCTCCGTCCGGCGACAGCAACAATAGATCGTCTTCAAGTGGCTCTTCAAGGGATTCGACACACGAGTTCAACATAGAGGTCTTGGACCCGTTGACACCCGAGGACTTTGCATGGCTTCCTCTCCCTTCCACAGGCTGCTTGCCGGGACCGCAATGCGCAGCACTATGCGCCCATCTCCACACATACTTAGCCTTTTATGCACCACCATCTTCGTCGACGGATGACGAAGCTGCGGTGGGGGACATCCTTGCGTATGTTGCCAAGGTCGCCCACGAGTTTCGCATGCAGTGGTACGATGATAACAATGCACCGCTCCTCTACGTCCGCATCCAAGTTGGGCAAGTGTCCTGCAGCGCTTTGATGGATAGCGGCGCGACTCACAATTTCATCAGCCAGTCCTTATCCAAAGGGTCGGCCTTGGCGCTCAAGTTCGAAGGAAGCCAAACCCGACGGCGATCAAGTTGGCGGACGGTCGGACGCAACAACTCCTCGATCGCTACATTGAAGGTGTGCCGGTTTATTTCGCACCTCATGCATGCGAACCGGTGACGTTTGACGTTTTGGACACGGACTTCGACATCATCCTGGGCATGCCTTGGCTTGCAAGTGCGGATCACACGGTTAACTTCCATCAGCGGACACTTATTGTTCGCGACGCCTTCGGGAGGTGCCACGTACCATTCCTCTTCTGCACTCCTCGATTCGGTGCCAAGTTGTAACGGCCAAGTCTTTTCGGGCCACTTGCGCTTACGAGCGGACCGACGAGATCGGCCTATGTTTTCTACGAGCCGCCTCGACGACCGAATCTTCACCAACGGACTTGTCTTCGGACCCCCGAGTGGTGCGGTTGCTCGAGGAGTTCACCGACATCTTCGAGTCTCCTACCGGTGTGGTGCCGGATCGGCCGATAACCACGAGATCATTCTCGAGGCTGGTGCCGTGCCGCCGAAAGGATGCATCTATCGCATGAGCGAGGAAGAGCTCGAGGTTCTCCGCACTCAACTTGACGATCTTTTGGACAAGGGCTGGATCCGCCCTAGCAGCTCACCATATGGTGCGCCAGTTCTCTTCATACGGAAGAAGAACAAGGATCTTCGCTTGTGCATCGACTACCGCAAGCTCAACGCACAAACCGTCAAGAATGCGGGACCTCTTCCGCGAATTGACAACCTTCTTGAGCGTTTGGGCGGCGCAAATTTTTCTCAAAGTTGGACTTGAAGTCGGGCTACCATCAAATCTCGATACGCCCGCAAGATTGCTACAAATCCGCGTTCAAGACGTGGTATGGACACTTTGAGTGGATCGTTATGCCGTTTGGCCTCACCAATGCCCCGACGACCTTTCAAGCGACAATGACCAACGAGTTTCGTGCGATGCTGGACCGGTTTGTACTAGTCTACTTAGACGACATCCTCGTCTATAGCCAGACATTGGAGGATCATCTTGAGCACCTTCGACGAGCGTTGGAGACGCTCCGCCGCGCCAAGTACAAAGCCAACCGCGACAAGTTCGAATTTGTCCGGCAAGAGCTGGAATACTTGGGCCATTTTGTCACACCGGAGGGCATCAGTCCGTTGTCGGATAAGATTCAAGCCATCCAAGAGTGGCAGGAGCCGAAGACCGTCACAAATGTTCGTTCCTTCCTTGGCTTAGCCGGCTACTATCAACGCTTCATCAAGGGATACTCGAAGATCGCGGCTCCTTTATCCAAGCTTCAATGTGAGGACCGGCCATTCGACTTCGACGACCATGCACAAACTTCATTTTTGGCTCTCAAAGCCGCATTGCTATCCGCGGAGGTGTTGCGTATCTACGATCCGCTTTTGCCGACACGTGTCACTACCGATGCGTCCGGCTATGGCATTGGTGCCGTCCTCGAGCAACATGACGGTGTGGACTGGCACCCGATCGAGTACTTTAGCAAGAAAGTGTCCGCCGTGCACTCGATTGACGACACATGGAAGAAGGAATTATTGGCCTTCGTACACGCGCTCAAGCGCTGGCGGCATTTTCTTCTCGGTCGACGACAGTTCCGATGGGTAACGAATAACAATCCATTGGTCTTCTACAAGACCCAAGACACGGTCAATAGCACCATTGCCCGTTGGATGGCCTTCATCGACCAGTTTGACTTTTTCCCCGACCACATTCCGGGCAAGTCAAACCGCTTTGTGGATGCTCTTTCGCGGCGTCTGGACCATTGTACCGTAGTCTACTCAACTTTTGAGATTGACAATGACCTGCGAAACAGCTTCATCCGCGGCTACCAAGCCGACCCCGAGTTTCGCGACAAGTACGTGAATTGCTCCTCTCCTAATCCGACGCCTTCTCACTACCGGATCCAAGAGGGGTACTTGCTTCTCTACACGTGGGGGAAGGATCTTCTTTGCGTACCGAGTGATCCTCACTTGCGTACACGGCTTCTTGGCGAGTTCCACAATGCTCCCACCACCGAACACTTTGGAGTCAACCGCACGATGGGCCGACTTTGCCAGCGATTTTGGTGGCCCGGCCTTCTCGGCGACGTCACGCGCTATTGCGAGTCATGCGAGGTTTGCCGACGCTGCAAATCCCGCAACCATCGTCCGTACGGCGAGTTATGACCATTACCGGTCCCTTTGAGGCGAAGGGAAGCGATTACCATGGACATTACCGGCCCGTTCCCCAAGCACAAGACCAGAGTGGATGGGATTCTCACGGTGGTCGACCGACTCACAAAGTTCGCCATGTTTTTGCCTTGTCGCTATCATGCCAAGGCACCGGAGTTGGCCGAGGTTCTTTACGCTGGTTGGATTCGAACCAAGGGTTACCCCAAGGAGATCGTCGACGACCGCGATACCTGGTTCATGTCCGATTTTTGGTTGGCGCTCATCAAGCGATGGGGCTCATCTCTCAAGCCCAGTTCAGCTCGCCACCCTCAGACCAGTGGCCAAATGGAGAGGGCGCACCAGACCGCACAGGTTCTCCTTCGCACTCTCATTCGTCCGGACCAGAAGGACTGGGTTGAGCGGCTGCCGGATGTCGAGTTGGCCTACAACTCTTCCATCCGCCCAGCTATTGGGATATCGCCTTTCGAGTTCGAGCACGCCTCGCCGGTCACTTCATCGTGGGACACTATTACTCCACGAACGGCCGAGAGCGACGACCATCTTCTTTTCTTGCGTCGGATGCAAGAGCTTCTTGTCAAGGCACGCGAACAAATGGCCAAGACGCAGCAGCGCATGAGCCAGCAGGCCAATCGCCAGCGTCTTCCTTGCCCATTCCGCGCCGGCGACCTCGTGTGGGTTTCCGCAGCGGAATTCAGCCTTGAACAAGACATCTCTTGCAAGCTCCTCCCGAAATGGATGGGGCTTTGGCCGATCATGGCACCCGCTGGGGACGCACCTGAGGGACCTTCCTTCACGATTCAGGTACCCGGCCACTTGCTCGTCTACCCAGTCTTTCATTGCTCCAAGTTGGCTCTTTACACGCCAGCGGAACATGACGATTTTCCCGGGAGACGTTCGGAAGACCCACCCTCCATGGATGGTTTTCAGGAGGTCGGCGACATCATCTCCCAACGACGCTACGACAACAGACCAACCGAGTACTTGGTACATTTTGCATACTGCACACATCGAGCGGACCGTTGGTTGACCCATGCGGAACTTCAAGCAACAGCTCCACACGTTCTCGCACGCTACAAACGCAACGCAAGATGCAAGGCAAGCCGGTCTCTTCGGCTCCACGCCGTGCCCGCGTCCAGTTTCCACCTTCAGATCGTCAGCTTCGCCCTCGCCCCGGCTTGACTTCATAAGGAGGGGGGGGTGTTACATGCTGCGCCTGCACACGAGGGCCATTTTCCAGGCCCTACGTCCCTCAGGCTGAAAGCCGGAAAACCAGGGCCTCCAGGCCCCGTGGCTGTTTCAGCCTGACAACCTGAAAAACAGGGCCTACAGGCCCCGTGGCTCTTTCAGCCTGACAGCCTGAAAACTAGGGCCTACAGGCCCCGTGTCTGTTTCAGCCTGACAGCCTGAAAACCAGGGCCTACAGGCCCCGTGTCTATTTCAGCCTGACAGCCTGAAAACCAGGGCCTACAGGCCCCGTGTCGTTACAGCCTAACAACCTGAAAACAAGGGTCTACCTGGAAACTTCCTGGAAGCTTCCTCAGGCTTTAGCCAGAAGCTACCTGGAAACTTCCTGGAAGCTTCCTCAGGCTTTAGCGAGAAGCTACCTGGAAACTTTCCGAAAGCTTCCTCAGGGCCTAGCACGTTTGGGCATTGGCAACAGCAGCCTCCTGGACGGGCCAACACTATATAAGACTGGCCCGCCCTACAGGCAGCGGGTAGTCTTCAGGATTCGGCAGCAACACTCTGGAGGAGCGCTGGCAGTAGTCTTCAATGCTGGGCGCTTTGTAGCATTAGCAGTAGTCTTCAGCGCTGGGCGCCAAAGCTAGAGTAGCACTAGAGAGAGAGAAAGATTGGGTGAAGGCCAGGGATACTTACCTGCAACGTCGTTGCTCCAGCTTCATCTCTGAGGTACCTGCAGCACAGTGCCATCTTCACAGGTTAGTACCTGAGATACAAGAGAGAGAGAGAGTTCTTCTTCTTCCTCTTCTTAGTCCACCATCTCCCTCTCACCCTCTCTATATCTGGCTTCACTGCATCAGCAGACTATGAGAGAGAGAGAGAGAGAGAGAGAGAGAGAGAGAGAG